TGTGGGGGAAATTACTGGTGCAAATGTTTACAGTGGGTATTAGTCTTATAGTGGTTGATCTGTTTTTACAGGCCCACAGTACATCTGATAACTAAGGAACCCTATGGTTTCCTTAGACAGTAAATCCAAAGCTGGGACACAGATCCAGACCTTTATGGAGGTGATTTAGAGCAGACACAAGGTGGATGTGTTCCCTGCTGACAGACTAATACTCAGGAGAAAGAGAAAGGCCGGTGCACCTCAGTGGCGTGGGAGGGTTTCAATGTGTTGTATCAGTGTGGGCTTTTGTATTCATTTCACACCTAAGAGAGGTAACGAGACCAGAGCAACATTGGCCAATAAACGAAGTGCACCAGAGCACAGACAGGATATGATGTAATACATTTGTGCTATGCAAATTACTAATAGTCTACTACAGTAAGGGGGAAAAGTATTTGATCCCCTGCTGATTTTGTACGTTTGCCCACTGGGATTAAGATTTTCTATGGGATTAAGTTCTGGAGACTGGCTAGGCCACTCCAGGACCTTAATGTGCTTCTTCTTGAGCAACTCCTTTGTTGCCTTGGCCGTGTGTTTTGGGTCATTGTCATGCTGGAATACCCATCCACGACCCATTTTCAATGCCCTGGCTGCGGGAAGGAGGTTCTCACCCAAGATTTGACGGTACATGGCCCCGTCCATCGTCCCTTTGATGCGGTGAAGTTGTCCTGTCCCCTTAGCAGAAAAACACCCCCAAAACATAATGTTTCCACCTCCATGTTTGACGGTGGGGATGGTGTTCTTGGGGTCATAGGCAGCATTCCTCCTCCTCCAAACACGGCGAGTTGAGTTGATGCCAAAGAGCTCGATTTTGGTCTCATCTGACCACAACACTTTCACCCAGTTCTCCTCTGAATCATTCAGATGTTCATTGGCAAACTTCAGACGGGCCTGTATATGTGCTTTCTTGAGCAGGGGGACCTTGCGGGCGCTGCAGGATTTCTGTCCTTCACGGCGTAGTGTGTTACCAATTGTTTTCTTGGTGACTATGGTCCCAGCTGCCTTGAGATCATTGACAAGATCCTCCCGTGTAGTTCTGGGCTGATTCCTCACCGTTCTCATGATCATTGCAACTCCACGAGGTGAGATCTTGCATGGAGCCCCAGGCCGAGGGAGATTGACAGTTCTTTTGTGTTTCTTCCATTTGCGAATAATCGCACCAACTGTTGTCACCTTCTCACCAAGCTGCTTGGCGATGGTCTTGTAGCCCATTCCAGCCTTGTATAGGTCTACAATCTTGTCCCTGACATCCTTGGAGAGCTCTTTGATCTTGGCCATGGTGGAGAGTTTGGAATCTGATTGATTGATTGCTTCTGTGGACAGGTGTCTTTTATACAGGTAACAAGCTGAGATTAGGAGCACTCTCAGCTCGTTACCTGTATAAAAGACACCTGGGAGCCAGAAATCTTTCTGATTGAGAGGGATTGAGAGGGGGTCAAATACTTATTTCCCTCATTAAAATACAAATCAATTTCTAACATTTTTGACATGGGTTTTTTCTGGATTTTTTTGCTGTTATTCTGTCTCTCACTGTTCAAATAAACCTACCATTAAAATTATAGACTGATCATTTCTTTGTCAGTGGGCAAATGTACAAAATCAGCAGGGGATCAAATACTTTTTCCCCTCACTGTACATCTGAAATCAACACTTTTCAGTATTTTACTCACTCCACTCAGTGAATTTCCTTATCATCCATCTATCCACCCATTATCCCTCCAATGTTTCTAACTGAGATCGAGACCTCGGGGACTATAAGATTCTATCTGAAATGTTTGTTAAAAATGAGTTGGTCACATATAATTGATCTTTAGATGGTTCTTCATATGTCTGTGAAGTTAGATAAAAAAAATTACTAGAAAGTTCTATCTGTTAAACCCATTTGAACTTGGAACTGTAAGGTTCTATCTGCAATCCAATCACAAACCTGAACAAATACAGATGGCTAATCACAACACATGTCTTTACCATCTCCCTCTAAGTATGGTCTAGGCTAGTCTAGCCAGCAATAATGGCACGCAAGCAAAAAACAACACTGTCAGAAATCTTAATGTAAATGATGTTGTCACATCGTTGTTCAGTAATGACAGTAATTCGTCTAATGACCATAATACATTTCTTAATGTATTTGAGGATGTGTTCTGACTCTATCTTGGTAAAATAGTGTTATTCTATCATTTATGTATTCAAATAGCTACAATCTGGCTGAACCCAGATGGACATTTCAGAGCCATAAGATTCTATCTGCAATTGCACCCCCCCCCCCAAAAAAAACGGATTTACAAATGTCTCAGGATTTTGATACTCTGCACTTTAGGTACCTTTAAGGTGAGGACGTTAATGGGTTATGAAAGAATAATTCACAACAAAACAGTTCTGAGATCTGGGATGTTAAAACTTTGATGCTCAATATCTCAGAACTATGCTTTGCGCAGATAGAACCTTAAAGTCTCAAGGTCACAACATGTATTTTCTGACTGAGGTGCCTTGTCTCAAAGGCATGGTCTGTTTCTGTATGAGGTGTGTTATGTTAAAGGATGATCAATTTCTGACTGAAGTGTGTTGTGTTAAAGGGATGGGCTGTTTCTGGGGAGCAGAGAGGAAGTTCTGGAAGCAGAAGGGGGTCTACTCCACCCAAGTGGGCTATGCTGGAGGCCTCACCCCCAACCCCACCTACGAAGAGACCTGCACAGGTAACACTCAACACTGACCCCACTCAGATGTAGCTAGCTATCAACAATGCCCCTGACTCGGACACATTTTCCAAACGCTTATAGAACATTTAGCGTGCTCAGAATAATTCAGTATTTTGACTAACTGGCTGCTACTAACTGTTACTCACTGCTGCTGGATGCTACTGACTGTTAATGGCTGCTACTCACTGCTACTGACTGCTACTGACTGCTACTGACTGTTACTCACTGCTGCTGGCTGCTACTGACTGTTACTGGCTGCTACTCACTGCTACTGACTGTTACTGACTGTTACTGACTGCTACTGACTGCTACTGACTGTTACTGACTGCTACTGACTGTTACTGACTGTTACTGACTGTTACTGACTGCTACTGACTGCTACTGACTGTTACTCACTGCTGCTGGCTGCTACTGACTGTTACTCACTGCTGCTGGCTGCTACTGACTGTTACTGGCTGCTACTCACTGCTACTGACTGTTACTGACTGTTACTGACTGCTACTGACTGCTACTGACTGTTACTGACTGCTACTGACTGTTACTGACTGTTACTGGCTGCTACTGACTGTTACTGGCTGCTACTCACTGCTACTGACTGTTACTGGCTGCTACTCACTGCTACTGACTGTTACTGACTGTTACTGGCTGCTACTCACTGCTACTGACTGTTACTGACTGTTACTGACTGCTACTGACTGCTACTGACTGTTACTGACTGTTACTGACTGCTACTGACTGTTACTCACTGCTACTCACTGCTACTGACTGTTACTGACTGCTACTCACTGCTACTGACTGTTACTGGCTGCTACTCACTGCTACTGACTGTTACTGGCTGCTACTCACTGCTACTGACTGTTACTGGCTGCTACTCACTGCTACTGACTGTTACTGGCTGCTACTCACTGCTACTGACTGTTACTGATTGCTACTGACTGTTACTGACTGCTACTGACTGTTACTGGCTGCTACTCACTGCTACTGACTGTTACTGGCTGCTACTCACTGCTACTGACTGTTACTGATTGCTACTGACTGTTACTGACTGTTACTGACTGTTACTGACTGTTACTGACTGTTACTGGCTGTTACTCACTGTTACTCACTGCTGCTGGCTGCTACTGACTGTTACTGACTGTTACTGGCTGCTACTCACTGCTACTGACTGTTACAGGCTGCTACTCACTGTTACTGACTGTTACTGACTGCTACTGACTGTTACTGACTGTTACTGACTGTTACTGACTGTTACTGGCTGCTACTCACTGCTACTGACTGTTACTGATTGCTACTGACTGTTACTGACTGTTACTGACTGTTACTGACTGTTACTCACTGCTACTCACTGCTACTGACTGTTACTGACTGCTACTGACTGCTACTGACTGTTACTGGCTGCTACTCACTGCTACTGACTGTTACTGACTGTTACTCACTGCTACTGGGTCTGCAAATCAATGTGAGGGGGTTCAATGTTAGGGGGTTCGAGGAGGGGTGAGGGGGTTTGAGCCATGTGTGGCTGAAGAAAGATAACTCAACCCCTTCCTCCTTCCCCTGTCTGCACACACAAACATACACCACATGGCTCCTCTGCAGACAGCACTAATCCCAGCAGAGCGTCTGCAGTGTGCAGATTGGAACGGGATCCTGTGTCAACAAGGGATTAGGGGCTGCTGGAATGTATTGAACAGACAATCGACACAAAGACAGAGAAACAGAGCGAGAATGAAGGAAAGCATCATTTTGATGAGGGATACAGTGCCTTCGGAAAGTATTCAGACCCCTTTACTTTTTCCACATTTTGTTACTGTCAAGGTGACGTGTATGCGGGAAACGAAGTCAAGCGCAGGACACCGAACTACTGGCAGAACGTACTTTACTTAACACAGTAAAGAAAGTACAAAACAAACCTCCAAACAGGGAGGAACAAATAACGCATACAACCAGCACTGCCGACCTAACGGAAAACAATCACACACAATAACCAATGAGAGACAGGGGTTTATAAAGGGAATACAATATAACATAATGGGAAACAGGTGCAAACAATCAGGACAAACTAGACAAACACCGAAACATAGATCGGTGGCAGCTAGTACTCCGGGGACGACGAACGCCGAAGCCTGCCCGAGCAAGGAGGAGAGGCAGCCTCGGCTGATTCCGTGACAGTTACTTTACAGCCTTATTAAATCCTCAGCCGTCTACACACAATACCCCATAATGACGAAGCAAAAACACGTTTTTAGAAATGTTTGCAAAAACTAAAAAAAGTATTCAGACCCTTTGCTATGAGACTCGAAATTGAGTCCTGTTTCCATTGATCATCCTTGAGAAGTTTCTACAACTTGATTGGAGTCTACCTGTGGTAAAAATGAGAAGATCTGCAGAGAAGAATGGGAGCAACTCCCCAAATACAGGTGTGCCAAGCTTGTAGCGTCATACCCAAGAAGACTCAAGGCTGTAATCGCTGCCAAAGGTGCTTCAGCAAAGTACTGAGTAAAGGGTCTGAATAATTATGTAAATGGTATATTTCAGTTTTTTATTTTTAATAAATTAGCAAACATTTTTACAAACGTGTTTTTGCTTTGTCATTATGGAGCATTGTGTGTAGATTGATGAGGGAAAAAAACTATTTAATCAATTTTAGAATAAGGCTGTAACGTAACAAAATGTGGAAAAAGTCAAGGGGTCTGAATACTTTCCAAAGGCACTGTATGTACAGTAAAGGAGGTCACAATTCCTCATTGTCTTTGAACATCAGAGTTGGTCAATCACATATAAATTCTTGTCACTTCAGATTCGAAAAAGACATGGAAGAATAAATCTGAATAAAAAAGAGTGTAACATATTTCTTGCTCCAGCCCTTTAGCCATGCACATAGTGCAGTGGGATGCAGAGAGTGGTGACATATGGACTTCTGTCTTCTGCTGAGCCTCATGCTGGCAGCCATCTTGCCCATCCTCCCCTGAGCTGCCAGCAGATGATGGCTGTGTGTGTGTGTCTCAGGCGTCCTTCAGATCACCCTGAACACACAGCTCCACTGCCAAGCCCACCAGCTGAGCGAGGGAGCTACCGGATGGAGGAGAAAGGAGAAAGAGAGAGAGTAGAGAGAGGCTGAAAGAGATTGCATGGCAAAAAAAACGAGGGAGGCTGACAGAGAGAAAATGGATGGATGGATTTAAAAGAAAGAATGGCTTACAGGAAGAGAGAATGGTAGAGAGAGGGAGGCAGAAAATGGATTCCTGAATCTGTGCGTGCGTCTATGCAATCAACTGTGCATGTGCTCGTGTTGTGTGTGCGCATAAAATGATACACCATCTCAGTTGTGTCCCATGTACTCCCTTGTTCCTCCTCCTGTCTCCAGAATATCACTATGTTCTTCCATCAGGTTTATTGTACAGTTCCTCTGTAGCGTCAGTCTGTAATGAGAGTGACCCTACAGGTTAGTTCTTATTACTTTTTTAATATCCCTGCTGTAGATGTGCTGCAGATAGTGGCGAACACAGCCTTATGAGGTGATATTACACAAACCAATCTCAGTGGAATAAAGTAATCTCGCTAGAAATGTATTGAATTAGGAATAGAAGAGCAGGCCTTTATATGAAACGCTGTTTTACTCTGTCATATTGAGATGTGAACTTCTGTGAATGTCCCTCGGCACTAGATATTCAACTGCCAGTGAGGGAGAAAGAGAGAGTGGGGAGAGAGATGGAAAGAATGAGACAAAGTAGGGGATGAGAAGACGGAAAGAGAAAGAAAGAGGTGGAAGTGGAAGAGTGAATGAAAGAGAGTTCTCTATCCAATCAGCATGTCCCGTCCTCGGTCTCCAGCTCGCGTGATTGGAGGACACTCCTACCTTCAGAGCCCTGGGACAGAGGGGCTCTCTTCTTGGTTAAAACATTCATAACTCCTCCAGGACAGCAGCTCCCTACTGGACTGGAGAACAACATGCACTCACAGTCAGGCTTTTCACTGCTTCTGAAGAGTTGATAGAAACTCAAGGTTACTTATCCACAGAGCTAGAATCAGATTATCATAACCCACTCCTAACCTTAACCAGAGGGATAAGGAAATATCTGATCCTGGACCAGTGGATGGGGGCAACTTTCTGCCTACTTCTCCTAACCTCCCCATCTCTCCTGTCTTCTGCTGTCTCCTTCAGGTAGAACAGGCCATACTGAGGTGGTCCGGGTGGTCTGGGAGCCAGAGAAGACAAGTTTCTCCAAACTGCTCAAGGTGTTCTGGGAGAGCCACAACCCCACTCAAGGTAAAACCATCTCTGTCCATCCACACACAGACACCTCTGGTATATACAATTACAGTATTTCCAAAGCAAAAAATTGCTTTGGAATTCTCTCTGCCCTAAGCTATCCGTAGCAGAATGATGAGTCCGCCATTTTTAGCGGCTACAATCAGGGTTCTATGGAATGACGGTAGGGAGGGAGGGAGAGAGAGGGACATGGAGAGGAGGAAGAGAGAGAGTGAGAGGAGAGGTGCCTGGAGTGTGTAACCTCTTAATCACACACAGCGCCAAGTGTGTGTGTTTAATTTCACCCTTATTGACCCTGTGTGAGTCCACAGGACATGCACGGCCCCAGAGGAATGTGCCTCTCTGTGTTAGCTCTGACCCCTCCTCACCTCAGGCAGGTCAACTCAGCTGGCCAGCGCAACCTCCGGACAACCTTACACACACATACACACACACACACACACACACACACACACACACACACACACACACACACACACAATGACACACACACACAATGACACACACACACAATGATACACACACACAATGACACACACACACACACACACACACACACACAATGACACACACACACACAATGACACACACACACACACACAATGACACACACACACACAGACACCCACCCCCCACACACACACACACACAATGACACACAGTGTAGAAGAAGATACACACACAATATGACCCAGAGTAGAATACACACAAGATGAGACACATTGTTGATGACTCTTTTCCACACTGTTGACAGCACTATGTTATCATTCTCAGGTCACTTCAGTGTCATGAATCATGACCTAACGTTACCTCCGGAGTGATTTGGCTCCAGAACACTACTGTTGCACATAGCGTGCAGAATGTAACTTTTAATTTTCTCCATTCAACTTTTTCAACTCCATTCAAATTTGATGGTTTGATATGGTGGGCTCAAAGAAAGATCCTGATCAAATCAAATATGCATCCATAATGCATTACCTACACTGAGTGTACAAAACATTAAGAACACCTGCTCCTTCCATGACATAGACTGACCAGGTGAATCCAGGTGAAAGCTATGATCCCTTATTGATGTCACTTGTTAAATCCACTTCAATCAGTGTAGATGAAAGGGAGGAGACAGGTCAAATAAGGATTTTTAAGCCTTGAGACAATTGAGACATGGATTGTGTATGTGTGCCATTCAGAGGGGGAATGGGCAAGACAAAATATTTAAGTGCCTTTGAACGGGGTATGGTAGTATGTGCCAGGCGCACCAGTTTGAGTGTGTCAAGAACTGCAACGCTGCTGGGTTTTTCACGCAGCTTCCCATGTGTATCAAGAATGGTCCACCACCCAACTGACATCCAGCCAACTTGACACAACTGAGGGAAGCATTGGAGTCAACATGGGCCAGCATCCCTGTGGAACGCTTTTGGCACCTTGTAGAGTTCATTCCCCGATGAATTGAGGCTGTTCTGAGGGCAAAAAGGGTGTGCAACTCAATATTAGGAAGGTGTTCCTAATGTTTGGTATACTCAGTGTATACAGTATAGTAGTATAGTAATAGTAACACTGTAGTTTAGTCCTCATTCCCAAAGTGGATGTAATATTCAGAAAGGTTCAGATAGAGACTAAGGTAAGTGAGGGAAAAAAGTATTTGATCCCCTGCTGATTTTGTACGTTTTCCCACTGACAAAGACATGATCAGTCTATAATTTTAATGGTAGGTTTATTTGAACAGTGAGAGACAGAATAACAACAACAAAATCCAGAAAAACGCATTTGTCAAACATGTTATACATTGATTTGCATTTTAATGAGGGAAATAAGTATTTAAACTTCAGACGGGCCTGTATATGTGCTTTCTTGAGCAGGGGGACCTTGCGGGCGCTGCAGGATTTCAGTCCTTCACGGCGTAGTGTGTTACCAATTGTTTTCTTGGTGAATATGGTCCCAGCTGCCTTGAGATCATTGACAAGATCCTCTTGTGTAGTTCTGGGCTGATTCCTCACCGTTCTCATGATCATTGCAACTCCACGAGGTGAGATCTTGCATGGAGCCCCAGGCCGAGGGAGATTGACAGTTCTTTTGAGTTTCTTCCATTTGCGAATAATCGCACCAACTGTTGTCACCTTCTCACCAAGCTGCTTGGCGATGGTCTTGTAGCCCATTCCAGCCTTGTGTAGGTCTACAATCTTGTCCCTGACATCCTTGGAGAGCTCTTTGGTCTTGGCCATGGTGGAGAGTTTGGAATCTGATTGATTGATTGCTTCTGTGGACAGGTGTCTTTTATACAGGTAACAAGCTGAGATTAGGAGCACTCCCTTTAAGAGTGTGCTCCCAATCTCAGCTCGTTACCTGTATAAAAGACGCCTGGGAGCCAGAAATCTTTCTGATTGAGAGGGGGTCAAATACTTACTTCCATCATTAAAATGCAAACATTTTTGACATGCGTTTATCTGGATTTGTTTGTTGTTATTTTGTCTCTCACTGTTCAAATAAACCTACCATTAAAATTATAGACTGATCATTTATTTGTCAGTGGGCAAACGTACAAAATCAGCAGGGGATCAAATACTTTTTTTCCTCACTGTACTCTCTGAAGTGCTGCTCACATGCCCAGTGATGCTAGATAAGGTAACCTACTGATTCCCTTATTATAACATTTTACATTTACATTACATTTTAGTCATTTAGCAGACGCTCTTATCCAGAGCGACTTACAGGAGCAATTAGGGTTAAGTGCCTTGCTCAAGGGCACATTTACGTCATTTAGCAGACGCTCTTAAACAGAGCGACTCACAAATTGGTGCATTCACCCTATAGGCAGTGGGATAACCACTTTACAATTTTTTTTGGGGGGGGGGGGGGGGGGTAGAAGGATTACTTTATCCTATCCCAGGTATTCCTTAAAGAGGTGGGGTTTCAAATGTCTCCGGAAGGTGGTGAGTGACTCCGCTGTCCTGGCGTCGTGAGGGAGCTTGTTCCACCATTGGGGTGCCAGAGCAGCGAACAGTTTTGACTGGGCTGAGCGGGAACTATGCTTCCGCAGAGGAAGGGGAGCCAGCAGGCCAGAGGTGGATGAACGCAATGCCCTCGTTTGGGTGTAGGGACTGATCAAAGCCCGAAGGTACAGAGGTGCCGTTCCCCTCACTGCTCCATAGGCAAGCACCATGGTCTTGTAGCGGATGCGAGCTTCAACTGGAAGCCAGTGGAGTGTGTGGAGGAGGGGGGGTGACGTGAGAAAACTTGGGAAGGTTGAACACCAGACGGGCTGCGGCATTCTGGATGAGTTGTAGGGGTTTAATGGCACAGGCAGGGAGGCCAGCCAACAGCGAGTTGCAGTAGTCCAGACGGGAGATGACAAGTGCCTGGATTAGGACCTGTGCCGCTTCCTGTGTAAGGCAGGGTCGTACTCTCCGAATGTTGTAGAGCATGAACCTGCAGGAGCGGGTCACCGCCTTGATGTTAGCGGAGAACGACAGGGTGTTGTCCAGGGTCACGCCAAGGCTCTTCGCACTCTGGGAGGAGGACACAACGGAGTTGTCAACCGTGATGGCGAGATCATGGAACGGGCAGTCCTTCCCCGGGAGGAAGAGCAGCTCCGTCTTGCCAGGGTTCAGCTTTAGGTGGTGATCCGTCATCCATACTGATATGTCTGCCAGACATGCAGAGATGCGATTCGCCACCTGGTTATCAGAAGGGGGAAAGGAGAAGATTAGTTGTGTATCGTCAGCGTAGCAATGATAGGAGAGGCCATGTGAGGATATGACAGAGCCAAGTGACTTGGTGTATAGGGAGAAAAGGAGAGGGCCTAGAACTGAGCCCTGGGGGACACCAGTGGTGAGAGCACGT